GTCGCAGAAGACTACAGAAGCAGAATGACATTAGATTACTTACATGGGATAGCATAAAATTTGAATTTACATATCTAGACATGCTAAACTATTTGATAAAAATTTTAAAATGCATATAACATTTGGATCTATATTAAGTTGATAACGTCCCTTTCGGATGCTTCCTCCTAAATGATTATACTTAGTAAATACATTAATAGGATTATTTTATTGCATTACCAATACAAACTTTTAACCTAAAGAGTTATCAACGTGAGGGGTTAGGGCTTGAATTTCAAATGTGACTAAGGCTTGTAGTCTTCTGATTCGATGAACTAGATGTTAACTTCCCACACTTGGAATATCATGGTATTAAAAACAATGGAAAAGTTCTTTCTCTAATAAATGAAATTTAAAAAAAGATTTACTAGGCTCCATGACAATGTTTAATTAAACCCCAATAACAAAGCAGTTTTGATCATTGTAGTATCGATAGATTAGTTTTTTAAAAGAGAAATAATTTATCATATTCAATCTCAAAGCAAAAGATTGTAAAAAGAATTCTTATTAAAAAACAACTAAAGGAAATTCAGCAAGAAAAACCTTTTCAATGATGATACTTCCACAAGCCATCCAGCCTTATTACTAGTAATTTAGAAAATAAAGTAGTCTGTCAAGAGAAAAAAAAACATGTAAAGAATAATGTATAATATCCTATCCTATTTACTAGCAATCTACATCCAAATATGATTGGAATAACACAGCATAGATTTGATTGTTAAAAGGCTACATATTTTTTTGATGATTCTGATTATTACCCTGATAAAGTTCAAACAAGTTAGCTGGACAAAACGTTGGAATTATTTCAAATATAATTTTCATATATAATGAGTTCTCTATACTCGGCGCCCAATTTTTATCAAACTATTTGTTCTAATCTTGATGAATATTCGTATATGTAATTTAAAGATTCAAAATAAGGTTGCGTAAATGATCCAAAAGTCAAAGAATAATAATAAGATAAAACGAAATATGTGAAGAAGAAGAATAATTGTCTACTTAACGAGTATGAACAAAATGAAGAACAAATTCTTAAAACAAAACAAAACATGAGAGTGATAATAACAAGTAATTAAAAACATTAAAAGAAAGTATTAATAATTAATATACTGTGTATAAAATATTAGGTGTTAGAGATATAATATCATGACAACATTACACTTGATACTTTTGTATGTATAACTCTAATATGAACTGTTGAATTACTATCACCTCTGAAACAAAATTATTTTTTAAAGATATTATTATAATGTAGTTGAATTTGTTATTTAATATAACTAGTTTGTGAAACTGTTTAAACATTTCTACTTGTCAAACGTAAATTTGATTATGGTTTTGACTGAAATAATTGATAACCTGACTTATATAAATACTTTATAATTATTTGTTAATTAGTAATGATAATATTAATAATAATAATAATAATAAACGCATTAGATATACCTAATAAGTTTCACCTGTTCATTTAATTAATATTAAAGAAAACTTAGTCATTTGACTGATTATCATGGATGTCAACAATCTACAGAATCAAGGTTCATTAAGTTTTTTTTTGGAATAGCACAAAGTACAATGTTTTTGGTAATACATATAATAAAGAATACTGAGTAAAACTTTCTAACTTTAAAAAAAGGTGCATTTAAAAAAATCTCTCTAAATATATTATCTTCTAGCTATTTGAAATAGACGTATGATATAGCATAACTGAGGTAATCAGAATAACAAATTGTTATCAAACTCGAAAAATTACATTATCTATTGAATGTGGACTTCTCATTAGACGTTTAGAAAACAACGTTTTTGTTTTATTGTAGAAGCAAACAGACAAACAACCTTAAAAACCGTATTTCTGCTTCCAATGCTCGCTCTTTCAAATGATAACGGTCGATTAATTAGTTTAACATTAAGCTGTTATATCTTATTTTAAAATCACAGATAAGATGAAAGTTGAGTAGACAAGACAATACATATATACGCATGAATCTGCCTAAAATGGTAGGAAGAAGTTTCAATTCAGGTGGATGCCTTTGATCTTGCTGTGTTTTATTAACTCGGTGATTTAATTTGAGCCTTAATCGCCATTTTGGACAAAATCTTCAGCGCTTATATATAGGCATGGTTATGTTCGGTTTTTTATGAGCCATTTAAGACTATTTTTTCATATAGTTCACGAAAATATTGGTTAAAAGGTAGTTACGAAATGTAATAAGATACTCTGTCATTTGTTTACCATCTTCAATATATAAATACACCGGTTGTATCTTTCATTTAGATGTGAATACACACACACAACTGAAAACTAAGACATACTCATTGCCTAGCTTAAAGACAACAATTATTGGTGAATGACTGAAATCAATTAAGTTATGATTGAAAAGAATACAACTACTATTTTGACATAATGTAACTTGAATACTCTTATTTTGATGACAAGTTACTATTTACTCTGGTAAGACTATATAATATCGAGAGATTAATGAACAAGGAAAACAGCTCATTTACCAGGTACATATTCATGTATTTGATTTCAAGAAAACTTTAAATGTAAGATCAAGTGATGCTAAGCAACTTCTCAGACTGAAGTAATTGATAGTTTGAACCTGTGAATTAATCCCTGAACCAACCTCCCTAATGAACAATGAAATAATATAGAACTGCAAGGTTATCATGTATCGGTTCAAAGTGTCATTTGCAACTGAGTCACAACAAGAAAATTCGAAAATAGGCACACAGGAATGTTTCGAATGATTTAAAGAATATACAAATATAATAGTATGCTCAAACTATGAACCGTATTAAAATGATTTGATGAATTGATCGAAGGTAGACATGTACACCATTGGATACAGGCTTAGTGGTCTAGAGGTTAAGTGTTCACGCGCGTAACCGAAGGTCTTAGATTTAATCTCCTGAAGTGCGGTCATAGATGGGCTCTTTGTAAGACTTACACACTAAGACGAAACGGTTGTCCAGTGTTTCCATGTTTTTAATAAGTTGTCTAAATCATGTATTGGTTTGTGTTTTTGATGAAATGATTTCTATCTTAGTAATGAATCCTCAACTGTTATTTTCATTATTTATCCAGACATGAACAACTGAAACAAAAGATTAAAATACACAGACCTGATTTAGTTTGGCAAAGAAAAAGGATAGCTTGAATAAAATTAACACTGATAATATGGTTCCTGGTCTTTTTTAACAAGATAAGGTGACTTAAAATATCTCCTTGAACTTAAAATGATGAGGAAAATGAAAATTTTAAGATAAAACCAACCAACATTTAGTAGGCGTATAGAGAGATCAACCAACTGGGAAACAAGTACTACAACGATAGTAAAGACGAGGCGGTCAATTTAATGGATATTATTGAAATATTTGCTACTAAGATCCAAATTACACTACATTTTATTTATCTATTTTCAAAACATTATATCTGAAATTTCAATTCTCAGTTTTTATGACTACAAATAACATAACGATATTGATACAGTGGATCGCATGATACAACAGATATACAAACTGTAAATTCAGTATAACTATAGTTATTTGATTATGAAGCTTCCCGGATGATGCATTGGATTGCTGTAATACATGTCATAAATGTACTATCTAAACAATTATTGAACTAGTAAACTTAGAACAATCTTATATCACATGTTTGTTCTAATATTACTATTTATATCAAATTGATCATGCCTGTAGACAGGCGTAAATTCTGTAATCATTATTTTCAGAATATATTATTATTTTCTTTTTCAACTAATAGTTTGTCAGCACGAATCCTACCTTATGAGTTTAAGTTTGGGTAATCAATTAATACTATAATATCAAAAAATTGAATCTCGAAGTCAAGTAAATAAACCTAAAGTTGGTTATTGTATTGGATCCGTTTGATTGTTAATGTTTAGCTAAATGGCATTAATACAAAAGAGAATACTATTGAAGAATGAGAAACTTGATGTTTGTCATTGCTTAATACAACCAAAAACTATTAAGAAATACTTGTAAAACAAAACTGATCTACATTTGTTTACGGTACATTTCGATCCGGAAAGCTACATGACAAGAAATAAATGTAATTCATCGGCAAAATATGGGTTATTGTATCACGGACTAGGTGTTAAATTTTTGTCAATAATAATACCTGATTTTAAAACTTAAACAGATGATAAAATCAGTAAATTACTGAGTTTACTCACATTAGACTGACTGGTTTAAAAGTCTAGAATATACTTGCAAAAGGGTAAGATAACCGACAGTATTATTAATTATTTCTAAAAAATGAATGAGGCTGCCAAAATACAATATCTATAACAAAAAAGGTGAGCTTCATATCTTATGGAATGATAAAATTTAGTGGAATTTCAAGATATCCCGCCTTATTGTGGACATGTTAAGGTGCAGTGAAGTACTTACTCCTCTATATAATAAACTATCCAATTTTTTTTTGTATTAATACTAAAAGTTATATCTCATATTTTTGTTAACATTTGATGCGATATCATGGTTCATTGAAATTAACTTTTAATACTGTTTGTTTCTGTGTTTAATAGTTTGTAGAAAAAAAAGTAATTTTACGGATGAGGAAAAGATCATTAAGTAGTTTTCACCGAGAATCTGGTCTCGTGAACAGCTACTACTCAGCCGTATTGTATTATTGTGCGCTAACTGTTGATCAGTAATATATTTATTTATTTTAACAGTTCAATGTTTTACCCAACGCTATGAATTTCCAATCTGGAAGAGATCAGCTGGATACTAAAAATAAGCTTTTATGTAAAATAATCCACGTACAGCTTAGCTCACATAAATCCTCATCTTATTCTTTGCTAAACTATCAGCCTTTTGTGAACCAGTTGACAGTGCATCTTTAAGATACAACTTATTGTAGCCGTGAAAAAAAAACAAATGCAGTCAGAATATTTCAATCAATTAAAATATTACAGATAACGTATACTTACCGACAATGATGGGCACGAATAGGTTTAATAGTAAGGCACTTTGTGCAACGTATAGGAGGGGCAGATAAGTAAGAAGAATACTGTTGTAAACATTTTGCAAATGTTTGATTTGCTGCACCGATTGGATGCTACCCTTATAAACAATTTAAAATGGAAAAGAGAAAAATATTAAATAAATGACTGAAAATATTTCTGATAGTAATATCTCAGACTGTAGAGCTAAGTGACGCGAATTCGAATCCCAGAGAGAGAAGTTCCCTCATGACTCCGAGTACGCTTTGCTGACAAGTGGGAATCAGAATGGGAATTAGACCCATAGATTCCTACCGAGTACGTTCAATCAAAACACTAAAGCATACTGCATACGATGTTGAGTGACTTGGACTGGTGGTCACATAGCAACCAATCTATAGAGTTCGACCACCACTAAGGACTCAAAAAACATGGCATTGGTACCCAATCAGAATAATTACAGATGCGTGGTCACTGTCCGCGTCGAATCACGGGTAGCTGTATACAGTGCAAGGTTTATACATTTTGTAAATGATATTCACTATCTTCAGATAACAGGGTATTTTATCACTAAGCAACCCAAGTAATTGGTGGCGTTCAATGTTGTGAAGCGTTTTCAGAGAATATGATTATTAATATTGATAGCAAACCTAAAGAGGACATATATATCATAGTAATCAGAAGGTAGTTAAGTTCATTTCAATAAAATATGGCAACATTAGTCATGGTGCAGTTGACCTACAACTGATTCTTCATTACACTCTGCATGAAATCACTGTGTTTAAATGGCTTGACATAAAAGACTGCATATCTGGTAGTGGTGAAGTGAATTTATTTCATTTGTTCGGTAAATAACAGAAACAACGCTTATTGTCACTAAAATATCAAAAGTATGGTCACCGAAGACACTTTACTATATTGAAAACTGGCCAGTTAATAATTATGTATCATATAGGTTTATATATATATATATATATATATATATATATATATATATATATATATATATATATATGGAAATGATTCATTACACTACATTAATTTATGTAGTTGGAAAAGAATCAAAGTTTGAAGGCACTTTAACTAATTTTTCTCAAAGATCAGATCCACTGCTGACAAGCTTATACTAAACATTCAACCGGAGCAAAGAAGCCAGATTTTTGTTAAATTCGTAGATTGCACGAAGGGTAGAACAATTATTATTAGGGTTTTTACTTCTTCAGTGTATAATGGTTATAACTACAAGTTAACAGAAGACAGAAAACATGTTTGCACTATTTATGGAATATGCATTCACTTAATTGAAAACTTAAATTTCCATAAACGAACTTTGACACGTTACATTGTTGTATAACTCTTCTAACAAATACAGCTCGGTTAGGATTCTATATAGATTGTACATTTTAGTGGTACCGAAGTACAATGTAGTCCATTTACGGTTTCACAAAAGTTTGATGTCAAATCTTTCGACCACCTCTTCATGTATCACATGATATGCAGCTAATTTCAATCTTTTAATTGACTGCTTAATAAGTAGTAAAAATATTATTTGTTCTACTAAGCTTTTAGTTACTTCATCCTTATTGTCAGGAATGTTATTGATATTTGTATAAGAATGCTTCTATTTTAGGTATTAAAATTAAGCACAATGTTGCGTTAAGTTGATTTATCAAAAGTGAGAGAAAATCGGCAAACATAAGATGGGAAAATGATCATCGGTCAACCATACGTACGAGGTAACAGGAATGGATATCATTTCAAATTGTTACACCACACACGAATAAAGCAAGAGAAGAAATTAACAGAATGATCACTAGCTATAATAAATTGGAAGTCGGATCCAACAAAACAACAAATATCAACTTCGGAGCATGTTAATAAACATATTCAATCATAACCTTTGTATGTCTCTCCAATCGCAATCAGTAAATTAATAAAAACTTAAATTTGAGTTACAAGACAATAACATTACAAAATCAGTTGGTTATATTGACACTTTCTTAATCTAGTTTCTCATTTTGACATGCGCTAAAATGTCACCAGATGTTAAAATCTCAACCGACTGTTTTATTTAATCATTTCAGGACTTAACAGGATTCACTCGGACTTGTAATTAAATATCCATTGTCACTTCATATCACAGACCTATAACGCTAATGATTTTTTTGTAGAAGTACAGTTCAGGAGAGAATATTACTAGGCTAAACACAAATGATAAAGCTCAGATGGATATCTGAACCATACAATTAAAGGTTAGAACACCAGTACGAGAACTAATCCTTATAAAAATAAATGCAGTAGATCAGGTTGATCATTCAAATTCCTACTCTTAAGCACCAAGTGAACCAGCATGCACTCATACCGGCAAAAAATTGAGTCTGTATCAACCAATAGCTTAATAATGCTGATCTTAAAGAACAATATAGTCCCAGATTATGTAACAATTAACTCATTAGTAGTTTTCAACAAAAAAAAACGATTACAGTACACTGTAGACAATAAAATAGTGGTTAATAACTTACTGGGTCTGTGCTGAATGCTTTGAAATGAGAAACTACTGCCAGGATGGCAAACAAATGATAAATCGTTCCACTAGTCCAGTAAAAGGCATGTGATGGAGAATGATTTAGTATTATGAAGTCTATTACAAACTCTGCATACAGAATAAGCAGCCAAGTGATAAAAATACAAGTAATCCCACAACAATCGTTAACAAACCAGATAACACCTAATGTTCGTTTAAGAGGCCGCGAATTTACAGAGCGAGTAACGGCACGAAGGCCAAGGGAACGTCTACACGGAGATAAAAAGTCGTATAAATCTCCAGAAGGAAGAAATGATACACGTAATTTTCCCGCTGCTTCGTCATCCCACGAATTTAAATCTAAATCACGAATGCCACGGTATCGAGCAGGCGCTGTATTAGGATCTAAATTGATGTGAACGGTTTCTTTGTTCAGTGTTTCTTGTGGATAAGATGAAACAGATAAATTCTTTCTATAAACGGAAGGAATCGAATTCATGTTGCCATGGTCTGAAGCTTGATTGTCTAAATGTGAAAGTTGAAGAAGTAATCAAATATGTAACATAAAATAATGTTTCATTTAAAATAAGTATTTTAGGTTGATGTGAAGAAACGACATATAAATGTTTTCAGATCATATCAGATATTTCCCGAAAAGACGAGTTAATACTTAAACGATCTTAAGGACCAGTCAACTAAGCTTCGAAACTGTGCTGTTTACTCATATACAAATACATTCGCAGAGAAACATCCGTGGCGGTTCAAAGCATGCTCATGACTAGAACTCGGTATATGAATGTAGTACAAAAACATACCACTGAACAATAAATCTACTAATGAATGGCAACGATTTATAATCTTTTATTCAGAAACCTCTATCAAACTTTTTAGAACATTGAATATGCTACTACCTCATACTCACAAAACATATAACTAAATAACTTATTGCTTGAATGTGAATAAATTTCTTCTAATGACATGAAGGCTGAAATCCAAGTCCATATGTTAAGAAGTGGGTCAAGGAAGTTCAGACGATACTTTTCAAGATAACTATCACAAATACGATTTTAAAAATTTAAGCACAATGTCACACGAGTTAACAGAACTTTACAACTCGCGTAGTGGCTTTCATTAACTACTTGTTCAACTGATAACCGGTGGGAACTATGTACAAAAGCCTTTTCTGATCACGAGGTTAAAACCATGTATTTTGTTATAAAAAAACTAAGGTATTGATGTATGTTTACAATGAAGATGTACCACAGAACACCAGAATTGTAATCAAGGAGCAAAGATTCGGTTACTCGTACAGTAAAGAGGTTGTAAATCAAAAGGCTCTACTTTCTTCGACCCTACTTAAGAGAAAGAAACCTGAAAGATGATAGATCCATGACATATTCTGGACTCAATAGTCGTTTTAATATCATAAGAGGAAAAGAATAAAATAAACTACTAGATTGAAATGAAGTCTTATATATGGCTATATGGAAGCTTAAACTTATTACCCTTATCTATGTAATGCACCAAATAGCAAAGGAATCATAAAATTAAGAAAACTTAATTCTGTTGGCGAAACAAAACAATCACAGTGGTACTCTGGATAAACAAAACCCAAGAAAAATTGAATGTTTCCTATTGATATCACAAGGGGTTTTGTGGATTAGTTCACAACTATTTAGTAACATTAAAGACAACCTAAAATAGATGAATCAATATTACAATTCGTAAAAAGTATGTCTAGACTCATATTTTAGGAGGAAAGCGTAAATTCATATATCTATATATTGACAAATAGATCCTAAGATAATATAAAATACTGTCTGAAAGAGGTTTTTGATTTAGAAGCATAAGTTATGTATAGAATCAAGAACGCAAGGACAACTACAAAATAGGGATTTCGTTACGATATTGAGAATTTTCGGACTAGGTATTTCATTTAAATGAGGCAACAAGATAGAATCACTGGTTTTCACAAAGGATGTACGAAACAAAGTCCAGTACATCTGTAACTGGTAGAAGAATACAGGGAGATTATCTACCACATTCAAAGGAGGCGGAAAGAAATATCAGGCAAGTACACTTTGGCGAAATAAGACTAGGCATCGTAGAATATACATGAAAATTTGGAGTAAATGCATAAAATATACCAAAGGTTTTTATCACCTGCTCTACAAGTTTAAATGTTCATGTAATCTTTCGACTTTTCCAATTGGGCTGATTTATCATTCAAACTTATAAGCCACTAAAAACACTCGACCAGTATTTTACACTTTAGATCAAATACGATGAAGCATAATGTCTGTGGTTTCCGGAAGACGGTCGTATCCTATATAAGCTCCAGGCATATTGCGGTGTGTGAATGAACTAATGATTCTTTTGTACTTGTTGAATGCTCGATTTCGAATTCCAAATACGGTACATTCGTTCGTGCTTATCTAGTACTTTTTGATCCGATCGCGTCACTTCTGGGGTTCATAGTTCGTGCTATGATTCAAATACTCCTAATCATCATACATATGCAATTAAAGATATGGGATACATCCACCAGACTAAAATGGCACAGACATCAACATATTATGGAAACTCTACGTAATGACGCAAGGACGAAATGAAAATATTGTTGTGGTAATATCCAGTATATCGATGCACGTTGAATGTTTTTTTCTCTAAACAAAAAATTCAAATGATGTGAATATCATTTTTAGTGTGCGAAACAAAATAATTCCAATAAAAACTTAAAAAAGAACCAAGATGCATACCGATGGTAAGTTTTTCATCTGCACTTTGTAACAACGATTCCGAAGAGTTCTGATTCATATGTTGTGCTCTATTATCACGAAGGTTGCATTATGCAGCAACTAGGATTTGGAATCGATTCATCTTGGAACAACTAAATGTACCGGATATGTTGAAAGTGTAGACAACGTCCAATACCCAATTTCAGTTAGCAGTAATGAGTAGTAAGGATAGTATGTCGTAGGTCCTGTGCTAATCATCGTACCCTTTCTTCATTTGAAGTTCACATTCCCTTTTATCGTGTTCACTGATTGTGTTCATACTATTTTTTCGGGTAAGACGACCCAGTTATTGATAATCCGATGAGACAAATGGAAGCGCACTCTGAGTTTATAAGATCGAGGCTTTCGACCCCTCTTGCTATAGCGTCGGAAATGATTGGTTCTGTAGTGGGTTGAAAAATAAGACATAATAATACACAAATAAGTATTACAGATGTAGGATGTCAATATAATGTCAATTCACCTTCTACGATACAGTCAGAGAAGAAGGTTCGGGCGTTATAAGCGCTCATCGTAACCGAGTTCAGAAAAGCCTTTCAGTAACTTTATTCCTTGACGCTGAAAATTCCTGAGTGCGTCAGTATCCTGAACAAGGCATGAACGTGTGTTGCTCAGGAGTTAACAGAGTGTATGTTTCTAATTTACTTAGTAATTTAGCCAATTTTTTCAAGTAACTTAGCCGCTATGCCGAAATCATCTGTCTCTTTTCACATTTAATATATGATTAACTATTGCATCCTTAAAATCCCTAGGAGCTTGAGTTCGGAAAAGGGATATGTTGAACAGTTCCGCAAGTAGCTGTGAAGTAGTGTCTGCAAGGGATGATAATGTTTGTTAATGTAAGCCACCAAGACCTGGCAATTTAAAAGTCCTGAAGTTAATAAGTAGTTGAAGAAAATCTCCTATAGTCACGTGCATGGGCCCTACAGCTAGTTATGAGGATCGTTGTTAACAATAACCTTAGGCTGGACGTCGCTGTCCATATCCGATTAAGCTATTTCACATCAAGCTTCATGCAACGATAATGACGGTGTCACACCAAACCCAAATAATCGATGGCTTTTTAAGATGAACAAGTTCCATAAGTGTTTTCTACCTCTTGGAAGACTTCGATTTTCGTTATAAACCCATGGCAAGCAGTGCGCTGTCTTAAGTGTTGATCATAAAATGGACGTTAATGTTACGGGTTGGAGGGTGACTTTAAAAATCTTCGATTGGTCATCAATCAATAAATGTACACTGACTAACCGATTTTCTGAGATAGGTCAGTGTCTGATTACTAGAATGTCAGCCCGTCAGACATTTGGACGAGGTGGAGGAGATCATACTGTTATTTATATTTCTGAAACCTAACGTGCAGTACAAAGTGAGCACTGGTCGCTAACGAGAACTGGTCCCGTGTTTGATGACATAAATACAATGATGTGCAATGGCGAGGTTCAGCAATGGTAGTTGACTTCCTAAGTCAATAAGAATCGGTTTTGCGAAACTTCGTACAAGTGCACACTGAATAATGGTCTACAGCAGGACCACATTAAAACATTGACGTGAAGCTGTCAGCTTTATACTGTTGAGGAGTAGCGTGTTGAAATCTCCGACAATGTTATGACAAGCAGCCTCACTCCAAGAACAAACATCATTTAAGACAAAGTTGTCAGCAAGACAGTATGGGATACAGTATGCTAATACTACAGTCACTAACACACGTCTGGATTTAGTTTATCGACAAGCTACCTCACGTGTACCACTAACCTTTGTCATTTGTGCACTCTTTGTACATCTTTGTGATGAGCTTATGTAGAACAACTTACCTATTTTCCCTCAATTATTGGTGTCGAGATATAATCCCGAGTCGTTGACATTGTTAAGTGCGGATGCGCTCATACTTCAACTGGTTGACTCAACAGGGCTCATTCTTGTAAACCTGGTAGTTATTCGGAGGTTGTATTGAATACATATAGGTGAAAACATATGTTCTAGAATAACGAGAGTCTTGGATAAGCTCAACCTGTATTCCTCAGATAATCGTCTCCAATTTTCTCCATGTATTTTCTTCACTTTGCACATTTTAGCTGCTCAACTTTCTAGCTTGTAATGGGAAAAATATGTGCTTTCAGAATCCTTATTGCATTATGACGAACTCACAAATAACCATCAAAGTGACTCGAACTTGTTCAGTGGAGTGGCAAGACTATCACCTACTGGGCATCATAAAGATCTAAAGCTGCACTAAAAAAACGATAAGCAAGCCTAAACAAAAAATGTTTTTAAAAGGATGATGGAGATATTGGATGTTGGGTATAGACGCCTGGTAATTGAGGGGATATTCAAACATTTGCGTAACGTTCATGAGGATCTGCAATCATGATTCTTGCACTTATCACTTTTGTGTATAAGCTAAAAATATTCGTCCTTAAGATCCTCCAGTTGCTTCTATTAAAGTCTTCCCTGAGTGCTTATTTTCAGTCTTCTTGGTCTGATCTTGAAAAAAATCATACGAAGTTACCGAAAATACCACAACATATATCATTTGTGATTTTTGAGGAAATATTCTCTGCACAAGATATTGCAAATTTGGTTATATGGTGCTCAGCGATCGGTGTTTCGTACCTTTCACTGTCTGATATGAAGGGTGAGCTGAAATACTGAACTAATGTTTGAAGGCAATATTTTGCATCTAAGAGATAGTGTTGAACATTTTATCAAAGAAAAAAACTATTCTGTAAAGAAAAACAAGGAAGCTAAATCTTCTGTTATATACAGTCCTTTGAGTCGTGGTAATCACTCCGAATTCATGTTTTTACACCATCTACAGTACTATCAAAAATCACTGTGAACTATCTTGGTTGTGATGATGGATTTGATCAGATATGTCAGTCTGCACGTTATTTATGCACATCTGCCAGTACTCTTACAGATGAAAAGGTCAACCAAACTATTGCTGGTCTGTTCACTCAATGTTTAACCTTATTTTTAGAATTAACTAAAGTTCCAGATGTTGACCTCACTATTCACTGTGGATTGTCTTCAAGTTTCTCTGGTCTTTTGCCATGGCAAAGTCGGTTTTCGGAGTTCATGTATGTACTAGTGGTCTTAGAGTTCATATTTCGTACTTATTAACGTTAAGCATTCAGTAAGATGTCATGAATATTCGTCTAAAGTAGTTCAGACCTTTTGTTCTACTCGACCACTCTTTATACGTACACTGTATATTTTAAAGCACAGTTGAGTCATAATTAAGACCACATTTCAGTTAAATGTGTCGTTAATCTGTGATGTCGATGAATGCAGACTACATAATATTTGGAAGCTCAATAGCTAAGATCTGTAGTTGATGATTTTGCATGATAGGGCTTTAAATTAGTAATTGTGGCTCAGATTCACTCTCTACCGTCTCACATTTTCTACTGATTTATCTCCATTTCTCCGACTTTTTCATATTGTTCTGACGATCAGTTCAGACAACAGATTTACTTTCTGTTTATTAGTCATTTTTTTATCCCAGTCTTCATGAATCAGTCAAATATAGTCGATTGCTATTTAGGGAGCATTGCACTCCTACAGTGAAAGTCAGAAGACACTATTCCGAAGTTTGGTGTCGATTTAGTAACTAGTCATCAATTTGTTAATTATTGAACTAGGATAATTGAAACATGTATTGCATACTGGCAATATCTATGTTAGTGTTGAGTTTTAGCCCAACGAATTACTCATGAGATCATCAGTATTGCTCAAATATCTGGACATTTAATCTTTCCTAGATTTCGGGATGACTGGCATCAGCGATCAGGAATAATCATAAACTAATCGTGCAATCCTTGTTTTTAAGTCATTCTTCGGCATACAGTGTGCGTTGTTGTCCACAAAGACGATAGAAGCGTTTCAGCTAAACAGTCCGGGTTAAGCAAGGAACCTATTTGACGTTCAGCTTTCTCTTCACTAACTCATTTATAATTGATTTCCTGTCGTTCGTTATTACAATGCACATCTAGGACCTCACACTTGACTAAGTCTAGGGGATTTGGTTCTCATTAAGAGGCTAATATATTTAAAATGATTAGAAACTTACTGATTCGTGAAGTTCAGAAAGTATGAATAAGCTAACTGTAAATGTTTCTGTGTGTATTCGTCAATATTAGAACGAATAATTTGTCAAAAATTGGGCACCGAGTATAGAGAAGCCATTATATGCGAAAATTATATTTGAAATAATCTCAGCGATTGAAATCCAAATAATTCCAACGTTTCATCCATCAAACCAGCTGGAGTTTTTTGAATTTCAATCGCTGAAATTGTTTCAAATATAATTTTCACATATAATGTAAATGTTTTTTGTTTCATAATATGTATAGCTTTCAAATTTTTTGGGTATCATTGTAGCAATTCCTCTGCTTCTTGTCGTGCTGCTTTCATTTTTTCGCTTCGCTAGTTTATATGTAGTAACGAACATTCATGTCTTGCTCCACGTTGCCTGTGACAGACTGAATCCTCGAAATAGTCAGAAACACCGGCGTTTTGAGTTAACAGCAAGATTTTAAGATGTTGGAGTGCTTGAGACAAACTAAGTATGGTAAAGGTTGTTGTATTGTTGTAAACAGTGATTTCCTAAAACGTTCTGAAAACGACCAAACTTCCTTTGGAGCACGATTAAGTAGTTCCATGCATTGTCCCTGTTGTTTCAGCAGGTTTGTGCATCGATAATCATTTCACCTCAGTATCTGCTTTCGTGCTAAGACTCGATCTAATTTCACTTACAATGAAGCTGAGAGCATTAGAGCCTCTTAAGCCTTGACTGGTCAGTAAGTCTTCTATATACACTCGACTTGTTGAAAAATCAATTTTTGTTGTTATTTATGTTATGTTATTTATTCAACTCCAATTTGTCGGGCTAATTTTGAAACGTTCTCTTTTTGTTATCTATGTTGATAATTTGTTGGTAGACAATGTCCTTCCGTCCGAGGCCTTCGGTTGTCTGACTTCCACCAAATTGTATGTCGTTTTGGGATGGTCAAACAACGCTGGGGTCGTTGAAAAGATTTCGCGATTCATTTCTATACTCATAGTCATAATAAACACTCTAGTAACAACTGTCATGTATTTCTGTTCACTGTTAGACTATTTCAGACTGCTGTCAGTAAAAACTACTGCTATGTTAATAATGTACGATTAGTTCTCTACTTTACTCTGTCAAGTCCTTCAATATATATATATATATTTGTAACCTGTACCATTTTATACTACTCGTATTTGTATGAAAAGAATGTTGGTGTTATTTTACTTCCTCGCACTAAAACTGTACAGTATGATAATAACTAAACCGATGGGAATACTGTTCACAATTTTCAGTAACTTTTCTCCTCTGTGTTGTTCACTGACTTAATGAGCATGTACGTACGAACTATATTTATCTGACTAGGTTTTTTGTGTTTATTACTATTATTGTTATACACTGGTAGCAACAACTTTAAATATAAATAACTTATTTTACTACTTTTTCTGTTCTTTTTCAAGTTTACTTAGCGACACTCGTCACTCTTCTGAAATTAGTCATTCGAATATACTAAATACGGGTAACTAAAAGACAAAGTCGAGGCATTCATTCACGATACACATCAGAGACTTTAATCACAGTCCTAAGCATTAATAACAAAAGTGCGAACTGTCACTAATATTTTCATCTTCTCTGAACAAGTTAATAGTTATCTGGACTAACCAACTTCATAGGTGATACATTGGATTTAAGATCTTCAGGAACTGGGTCCGAGTACGTGTAAATATGAAGGGGTAAATACGTGCATCTGACGAGTCCCTTATGTGTTATATGCGTCTTCTGCTTCCCACCGTTACAAACCATTTATTTATTATTTATTTATTTTAACACATAGATATTGGTACAAAGAGGCACCAAATATATGCGCCACACAGATCTCATTTGATATATATGAGGGCTGTAATGCTGCTCAGACCGAAGTAGGTGGTTTTCTTAGGGGGCCAAACCCAGAGCCTTCGTCATAAAAGTCTAATCCACAAAGCAGTGGAGCAACGTAAGGAGATGCAGTCCCATGATAGCCGGTGACCAACGACTGGTTCCTACGCCATTTGTTTCTTCAGGATCGTGGAGCCCATGTGCACCATTGGTTTGGAATCAGGGTTTTCAAACTCCCCTAGGTGGACTCTCCATGTCCACCAAATTGGTTATAGCTCTGGGCATTCCCTTTTCGTTCTCTCAATTTCGTAAACAACACCCCTGGTGAGAGAAGGCAGTGAGTAGGGGTCTTCAATCCCATCCTGCAGAAAACAACCTTGGAAGAAAAAGTGACCAGAATAAACAAACTAATCCATTTAAACTCTGCCCTCCGAGTTCAAGGAATAATTATAACGCCTCACGATGAAGCTCGAGATTCTTTAGAAGTCACAAGGCCGATTCCCCTCCTAACAACCAGAGGAACAATTTTTATAGGTACATGGAATGTCCGCACAATGTGGGAGACCGGGAACAGCAACCGAATAGCAACGCAAATGAGGAGATACAACTTGGCGGTTCTCGGAATCAGTGAAAGCCATTGGACCCAATTTGGCCAGCAAAGGCTATATACGGAAGAGATGTTGCTCTGCTCCGGTCCTAAAGACGAAAATGCTCTGCACACCTAGGGATTTGCTCCGATGTTGTCCAAAGAAGCACTTAATGCACTTACAGGATGGGAATCTCATGGATCCAGGACCATCAGAGCGTCATTCAAAACAAAGAAGAGTGGAATCACAATGAATATTATCCAGTGTTATGCATCCAATAATGACAGCAACGACGATGATAAGGATCAGTTTTGAGAAAGGCTGCAATCGATCATAGTGAAGTGCACAGAAAAGTACCTGGCCGTCGTCGTGGGAGACCTAAACGCCAAAGTCGGAATGTTCAACACCGGGTATGAAGATATCATGGGACGATATGGGCTGGAAGAAAGGAACGAGAGTAGTGGGAGACTTGAAAACCTATGTGCACTCACCAACTCTGTTATGGGCAGCATAGTATTCCCCCACGAACACATACACGAAATTACATGGGTCTCACAGGATCACAGAACCAGATCGATTATATCTGTATCACCAAAAATTTCAGAAGTACAATGGAAGACGTGAGAAGAAGGTGAGGTGCTAACATAACATCAGACCACCACCCGGTGGCTGCCAACATGAAACTGAAGCTACAGAAGCATTGGACAAATGTATAATCAGCATTACAACGGTTCAACACAGTCTTCTTTCGAGGTACTAACAAGCTCAACGAATTGAAGATAATTGTCAACAACAAATTCCCAGCCTCACAAGATCTACTGAAAGAAGAAGCTACTATGGAGGACAACTGTAAAGGGATCGAAGTAGCATTAATTTGAACGTGTCAGGAGGTTCTGTTCGGCAAGAATCATCAATAAATGGAATGTCTCTATGGAGACCCTAAACAAGATTCAAGAAAGGAAGAACAAGAAGAAAGCAATTAACAACAGCCGATCAAGAGCATAGAAAGTGAAGGCACAAGCTAAATACACGGAAGCAAACAAGCAAGTGAAGGACAGCATTGGATGGAACACGCCACTATACATTAACTTCCTATGTATCAGTAGTGTTCAAAACACACATAAAGGAAAACCAAGATCCTCAAATACAACACAGAGAACACCAACCCAATCACACTTGATGCAGAAACCCTGAAAGATGTGAAAGAGTTCATGTATCTGGAGAGCGTCATCAATGAACATGGAGGATCTGATGCAGATGTAAAAGCAAGGACAGCACTCTTATAGTTAAGAAACATATGAAACTCAAAACAATTGTCAACCAATATCAAAGTTAGAATCCTTATTACGAATATCACGACGGTTTTACTGTACAGAGCTGAAACGTGGAGAACTGCTATAACCATCATCAAGAAGGTGCAAATATTTATAAGAAATTGTCTATACTAGATACCCATTGTCCGTTGGGTGTATACCATCAGCAACAATTTACTGTGAGACATAACAAATCAGCTTCGAGTTGAAGAGGAAATTATAAAAAGACGCTGAACAGAACACACATTACGGAAATCACCAAACTGCTAACTTAGAAGAGGAATATGAAGGAATACACTGCGTAGGAAATGGGAAGCAGACATGAAAAGAATGAATAGCAACTAGAATGGATTGCCCAGGACCGAGTTTGATGGTGACTGCTGATGAGCGACTTATGTTCCTACACTAGGTGTATAACAGGCGTAAGTTATTAACTAAACAATTAGTTATATATGATGATTAAAACAAAATTATTCATGGTCAGTCGTTTAACTCATAGTTTTTCAAAAATATTAGTAAAGTAATTAATCTGTTGTTAGTTTGATTTAAACAAACCAGCTAATTACCTTGAATTTCGTATGTTTACTCACTACTTTTCACAAATCATACTGCCTTTATTTCATGGTAATGATTTTTGCGAACATTGAATTACAAACGAGAAATAACACGTTTTATTTTATTTTCTGTACATAAATACCAATAATTTGCTGGGTTTTTTTCTTGCAGATTATCTACTATGTATGTTATGTTAATGGATAATTATACTTAGTGAATTTTAATTATGGTATTACTAGATTTAAATCTCATCCAGTCGTTCAGTTTACCGACAACAGGATATTGATGATCTCCAATATAATAAATATAACTAACAGAACTACAAGTTGCTTAACATCTCCTGAACACAAAATACTAAGTAGATACTGTTGTGACTTTAAGCCCGGCTAGTTATCACGTGGTTTATCCGCCAATCGAAATATGGCTTATACAATATTCGCACTGTGCCAAACCAATGAAGTTCGACCGGTATGAACAGCCTAGAGTCCTTATTGATCCATTGTTCCCCTAGCCCGTCCACTTGAGTCCAGAACGCAAATAACAGCTTCTACTATGCGAATCGAATCATTGATTTCAAACATATTTGGTTCATATACCAGTCGAACAGACCGCAATACACCATAAAATAGGAAATAACATTTATACAGGATCCATCCAATAAGTGGCTATGAACGTGGGAGACTCTAGTCAATAAACTGAGTATAGCTTACAAACAGTTAATCGTACAATAATAATCTATATATGAAACTAAAGCTTATGATGAGAGGAATATAGATATACACAATCTAGTTACTGAACAGTTATCTAATAGGAATATGCATATAATATTAGCCCATTAATAGTTCTCGGAAGTTACTCCTAATATATTCTTCGCTAGGATATAACACAACATAAAATCATTCAGGATGACCAATAAATAACCAAACTCAATTTTTCTAAAATTTTCCTAACCTATTACTAACAAGCGCTTTTTTCAACTTTTGAGAAATAAATATCTAGTAGTAGTACATTCAGTTAAGTACTTGATTGATAGTACTGATCTTAGTTGGAAGAGGATAGAAAACTTGTGTCAGTCCTGAAGATGGAGGATATCGCATATAATCCAACATTCTATTGAAAATCTCTTCTGAACAAGCTCCGACTATTTGTTGACTACTTAAAATCCTAATAATGATTTATAATTGAATTAAACAACACTTCATATAATGGTATTTCGATGGCATAGAAAATGAACTTTATAAATAGAAACTTGAATAGTGTTATCAATTGAACTTTAATAGACAATTTTCTAATAATAACTTTCTAGGTCACATTGGAATTCAATCGATCGAACTACATTTTACACTGTAAGTTCATTAGGCTTAATAAATGCGAAAGTATTTACTAGCATATGAAACTAAAATTTAGATTATTTGTAGAATGATAGAGATATAGAAACTGTATCAACCTGTTAGACGGTTGGAGAGATCTAACACAATATCTAAAGATCTAGTTTTTATGCTATATAGCACTCTACAATCTTTAGAAAAATGATGCTGTATTAAAGATTTTATTCCACAGTCAGGATCCCGCGAGTGGGATCATTGATGCGCACTGCTGAGGAGTCCCACAATAGGACGGAACGGCCGTCCAGTGCTTCCAGGTTTCCGACGGTGGTCTAATATCAATTGGTTGATGATCTCAATCAAAAACTTAATTATCTCCAGAACCGCTATACTGATAATTAACATGTACTCTTTAGTGACCAGCTTCGTGAGGGAATTTTCGGAGTTCTAGCGAAAAGCCATGATCAGTGGAGCTAATCTGTGTCGGGTAGACACAGGTATCTACCTCAGTAAAATGGAAGATTGTCGCGCAATTTCGTGGATTGATTGATGTTAGAAATAAGCATCGTTGGATTTCGGCTCGGTGGTCCAATAAGTTAGGCGTTTGCGTGCGAGACTGAAGGTCCTTGGTTCGAATCCCGCGGGTGGAATCGTGGGTGCACACTGCTGAGAAGCCCTACAATAGGATAAAACGGCTGTCCAGTGCTTCCAAGTTTCCAACGCTGGTCTAACATCAATTGGTTCATGATCTCAATCAGAAACTTTATTGTTAAGAGATTTCGATCACCATGACATCAAGTTAGTCTAGTTGTTACATTGCAAATATAATAATTGAAACTTTATTAACTCAGTGGACATAGTGTTGGTTATCATTCTATAGTCGCATCTTGTTAGCACCACGAAAATTTCTCATATTTTTATCATTGGTCCGTTCAACATCATATACTTTACCATTTTCTCCGTTAGAATCATTATTAATAGTTGAATTCATGAGTCGATATAAGCTAGACCGCCATTGAAAACCTGGAATGAATTCAACTATTAAAACTACTACAATCTCCACAAACCCCATTCTAATCAGAATCATTTTAGTCTAATCGCTGAACTGTATAACTGACTATATACTGTAAAATAATCAATATTAGCATGAACTGACCAGAATTCAGTGATCTAGTAA